AACCATAACGATTCTATGATTCTATGTAACTCACTGCTGACTTCTGAATTGAGCCTGGATAGCTTATATTGCAGTCAAGCTGCAATGAATATATAATCTATTCTGATGTATATATAATCCATTCTGACTCTCTTCAATGAGTCAGAGATTTCTTAGGCGATTGGGACGTTAGCTCAGGATTTCGCACTGCAGCGGCAGCCGTTGGTCCCGTCCCTGACTTGCACGAGCCTGACATTTGTTTTTATTTCCCGAAGCAGTAATTGAGAAGCTGGGTAGTTTACTACTTGTTGATAATTGTTCTTTGGTCCAGATTCAGGACTTGCTTATAAAGCTAAAGATTGTTTCCAGAAATATTATTTCACTGCCTGCCTCCATGGGAAACTTGTAATTATGAGAGTAAGTTTTGGTAAAGCCAGTGAAATTGTTCTCGTGCTCAAGTCCCTTGCTGAGCTGGGATCTCAGGGGAGATGATAAATGGATATTGTCCCGCACCTTAACGAGACCAAACAGCACGTTTGGGCCAAGGGCATCGAGAGGTAAATGCCCTTATTAAGTAGAAAATTGTCATTTTTACGGATAGGGGAAATAGAGGAAATAACATGCTTGCAGCTTGACTGGAATTATACAATGAGTTGACATTACAACTAGGAATAAAATTCCAGTGTCCTGATCTTTATCTTCATGATTTAACTGCGAGGCCTTGCTTCAAGGTTAATAAAACGTGCTGTTTGCATGTGATAACTTGTGTAAGATTCCTACTTAACTAACACAGTTTCAGATGATTTTATAAGATGTATATACGGCATATACATGTCTCTCTTTTGTCTGGTCTTGCTAATCGTAATTGTTTGTTTTGCTAAGTGGAGTTTAGGACGTAGGCAATCAATATCCATTTTTCCCTTCTGAGGATGTGTGTTGTCAGTATTCCTGAAGAAGCCCCATGGTAGGGTAATTAGTGTGAAACACTATCAGATCAACTGTAATTTTGATAGGTACAAATACAACTGAATATTTTAGTGTATGAGTATTTAAGTTTGTGGAGACTGCAATTGTGTATTAAAAGCGACGCTATCATCGACCATGGGAGGTAAGAGAGCGGCCAAGGAGGAGAAGAGTGGGAAGGGAAGCTCGGCTGAGTGTCCAGGCAGTCGGGACACCGTCGTGCCCAGGCTCCAAGGCAGCCCGGAGCCGTGGGCCAGCGTCACCGGTGCCAGCCCTGGGCAGGGATCGGTTGCAAGATCCTGCTGTCAGGTCTCCTGTGCTGTGGCTTGCGAGACAACGTACAGACCAAACAACTTGGCAGCAGTTGTGTTTTTTCATAAAGTCAACTGAGTAACGGTCGTGTGAATATGGAGTGAACGTTGGCAATAGCAGAAATGTTTTGATGAAAAAAAATTACAATATTTGAATTATCTACTTAAAACCAGGTAACCTAAAAAAGATTATTCTGCACAAGTGGCAGGGGGTGATGCTGAAGGCCTACAAAGGTTGTATACAACGTGGGGCTTGCTTGGTTAGGTAGGGCGTGCCAAAGAGTTTCTGCAGAAGAAAGAAGTAGGTGAAGATCTGGAGCAAAAGTGCGTGTAGTAGCCCTGGAGTAGTGGTGCCGGGCATCACCCTCAAGCACAGTCCTGCTGCTCGAATGGGCTTTTTTAACAACTAGGTTGGTCTCGTACAGAATAAGAATTGCGTTGTAGGTCATATTAAAAAATGGAATTAACTTTCATTCTCAAGCATGGGCATAGACCTATTGTAGATGATAGCAGAGGTGGCAGTCATGGGTAGTTCTCAGTATTTCCTAATTGCGCTCCCAGAGAGCAAACGCTTTACCGTTTATGGCTTGGCAGTATTGCAAAATCCTTATGAACAGGAAAAGCCTAAAGGAATCCCTCGTCCTGTGGTAAAACATTTTTGGGTACTGAAGATGAAACATTTTGGAACGGAACGTTGCATGCTAGAGACAAAATAAAAGTGCCTCTAAATGTAACTTTTCATATTGGGATAAATGCAAATCTTTATATAATTCATACCATAAAGTAGGTTAATAACAACTGGCAAATTACAGTTTGGAACCAAAACTTTTCTTAATACATTATATGTAATTTCAGTCTTTAATAGTGAAGTTTGATGAGTGTTAGCACATGTTTCTATATAATTTCAATGTTAACTATCAGTTTTTGTTGGGAAAAAAAAATCTCTTTATAAAAAAAAGTGTGTGTATATACAGGCAGAGTTACTAATACTTAGTCAGCCTTTTTCTACCCCTGTAGTGTTGTATTTTTGTAGTCAGCAAATTTGATACACCAAAACCTTTCCCAACACCATTCCCTCCATGCTGGCCATCTACCCAAAAGACAAGCAACTTAATAGGTATTAGATGCGTAAGGGGACTTCAAATAGGATATCGTGTATTGCAGCTCCATTTTGTTGGTTTGAATCCAACCGTGGTGTCTGGTGACAAAAAAACTTGTTACTATCCGATGCCTCTGGAGTTGATTTCGGTTCCGAGATCGAAGCCAAAGGGCAGGTGCTAACATAAAACAGCTCATCAACATTGTCAGTAATTTATGTCCTGCTCCGAGGAGTGAGCAGGGAGACCGGATTCTTTCAGCTGAGGCGGCATTTTCTGCTAGTCAAGGTAATGAAAAATTTTGCCCTGGTTTGCTTGTGGTGTGCTTGTTCTAGGGAAAGGACTTCATTCTTCAGGACTGCCGTTTTTCTCAATGCTTTATCATTAAAAGTACCATTTTAATAATGTTCATGTGGCTGGAGCTGGTATTGATGCCTGTAGATAACCTTATATAGCACTTTCTGTAGTGAAATCGAATTTTCAATTGCTCATAATTATTCTTTCAAACTTCAGTTGTTTGTGATGAAACTTTTCAGGCTGTTTTTTTTTTTTTTTTTCCTTTTTTTCTTGGCACTGCTTTAATTGAAAACAGTTCTTCTGTTTCTGAGAATGAGGTTAGGGAAAAATGTTACTTAACCAATGCTGAATTCTTACATCTGTTTTATTGAGGAGTTTTAGAGCCTTCATGCCTTGGAACAGGCTCTTGAGATTTGGGAAGGGGGGCTTAGGGGAGTGAAACCGTGGACAAAGATGTGCCATTTGCAATCCCTCTTAAAGTTTACTAAATCTGGCCAAGTTACAAGGTCTTGAAACTTGCTGTTTGCACACGTTGAGCAGAAACTTGTTGAAAAACTGGCAGCAAAATTGTCTTGAACGTTAAGTTTTCATGAAGTGTGTTCCTCAGAGCATCATGCCAGGGAGGCTTAGGATGCAGCACCCATCGTGAAATCTGTGAGCCTGATCCAGCATGTGGAGGGGACTTTCCCCGCACTTACTTCATCCAGTTGCTGGTGGACCAGGTTTCAAGCAAGAGAATTAACACTTGGGGACTTTCTCTTCCTTGGTACAAGCAGGTAGCGTAGAGGAGAAAGTTATTTCACTGCATGACAAAATGTTATGGCTTAGAGCGAAAACAGTGCCAGACTGGGATGGATTAAAAAAAACAACATGCCTGTGCATGTGTGCATCAAGGACAGGTGGTAGGGTCCAAGAAGCGTGAGCAGATCTTCTCAGAAATTTAGATGGCAGCCCATCCCAAACTGTGTAGCGCTGAGTTTTCCACCTGTACTTATATTTGGAGTTTTATTTAGTTGCCTTTAAATGCTCTCCTGAAGGCTCTGGTAGAGAAGCTGGTTGGAACTACTGCAGGTACCAGTGCTCAGGTCCTTCACAAGTTTGGAGAAGTGAAACTTAGGCCTAGCAGGGAAGCAGCAGATCTGTGATGACTTTGCTGTGCTAGCTAATCCTTCTTAGTTTTGTTTGGGATGAGGAACAGGAGATTGGGATCTTTTATCGGGTGTACGTGCAGCAGGCTGGGGAAAGGAGCAAGCAGGCATTTATTTCAAGAGAAGGAAGGGCACGAAGAGGCTGGGGAAGATGCTGAGGTTTAGCTGTCGAGATGTAATTCGGTGATGAGATGCAGGGAATAATGAAACCTGGGACCCAGGAGGAGGTGCATCCTTGCAGAGCCAGGTCCAGCAGGTCCGGTTGTGATTCAGGCAGTGAATTTACCCCTTACCTCATCCTGCTCCGTCGCAATTGCTTAGTTCTTGCCTGATTAAACACAGATAGAGAGATGCTGAGTTTTGCCATGCTAAAGGTGACCCTTGTTGTTTCCTGAATACTAGACTTGAACGTAAGTTTGAATTTGACCACTCAAGTGGTGACAAGGATGAGGTCTGAAGCCCTCCAACAAGAGACATGTCTTGTCATGGAGTTCGGATGTCTTATGATACTTGCCATGAAAACTGAGCTGCATACATTCAACAAGTAAGGGAACAGAAAGATGAAAATTATCTTTTGTTTTAGGCAACGGAGTCCAGAAAAAATTAGTTCTCCCTTTGTATATATATATATTTTTTTTTCCAGGACATTAGGCAGATCGTTTTAGAGGGAGACTTTCCCAGGAACCACGTTGCTCATGTTCCTCATGTTCTCATGTCTCGCTTAGGAAACAGGTTCATTTTGAATTGAGTGCCTGCATCAGTAGGAGCAGCATGATAAACTTGCTAAGTGATATAAAATTCTAATTGCTCTGCTCCGGAAAAATCGGTGGTTGGGTGCCTTGATCTGTCTAGCAACGTTACAGGTCACTTCTGTCAACGGCAGCCTTGAATTTCTTCTTCCTCCTTTCCCCTCTATGGAGGGATGAAGTTCTTCTGAGGGTACTGCTTCAAAAGCGTTAGTTAATATCAGTGCCCTGATTAGCACTATTTCAAAATAATAACCGAAATCCAAGAAATAAAGATTGTACGTGTGTGTTTTGTTATCATCTGCATAAAAAAAGAGAAGGGCACTGAGGCAGAGCATGGACAACCATGATTTTTGCAGTTACCTGAAATTGTGAACATCTATTTGGCTTGTGTTATCATGTGGTTCGTGACTGGGATGGATCAACATTGCATTAGAAGAAGAATGAGAGTGTTACGAACTTTTATGATTTCAGTAACCGAACACCACGTTTTTAAGTTAGGTCTGAGGTTGTGTTTGAAGTGCAGCAGAGCCCGTTTGCATGGTATACCAGCAAATTGCCCATAGGAGAAGCCCTTGTACTTGAAGAAAATTTGCCCTTAATGCATGTGTTACACACGTGTATCTATAAACGATGAGTAGTTCATGATTCTACCTTATTTATATGTTTATAGTGGATATATATTTGATAATTTATATAAATAGATTATATAACTTACCTAAGAGTTATGATTATATAAATTAGCATTTATATATACATTTATAAACCCCCAAATGTATCTATCGACATAAAATTTAAAACAATTAAAGTAATATTTGGCCTTTTTGCTATGGAGAGGAATTAATGTTGGCAGCCCTGTTCTGTTAAGTGGGCTTTAAAAGGTTTCTTTTCCCTCTCTCTGAAAGGGAGGTTAATCAAGGTGTGCATAAATTAGTGATAACAAATGCTTGCAATTCTCTGAGTGCACAGTAAACCAAAAATAATTTGAGGACAAGGTGATCAGGATAAATCCAGAGGGGATTCTGCAGTATGCTAGGAGCTATTTAAAAACTTTTGGCTGTGACTCTTCAGTAAATAGCAATCAGACTTCCAGAAATGTCTGGCAGTCAGCAGCTCCAGTTGTTCTTATGGTTCATACTTTATGTTCTACCAAGATCATTACTTGAAGATCTAAAACCGCTTCTGCGATGCATAAATGGGAGATTAGTTTCTCCTGGAAATGTCTGTATGTCGTGTACGGAGCACTTGTGGACACCTGACCCTTGGAAGTCTTCTCCCTTTTAATTTTCCAGAGTTTTATTAAATTCAGAGTACTGTCTTACCCTTACCGTTACACCATCTCCAAACTTACAATGCTGATCGCTTCTGCTAGCAAATTGTTTCTTGGCCCACCATTG